AGGTTTATTTTTTTTTTAATTTCAAAAATACTTCTTCTTTTTAATAAAATTATTCTTTTAAATTCTCCTAAACAGTAAAAAAAAATAATTGTTCAGTATTATCTTGTATTTTAAAATAAATTTGCATTGAATTAAAAAAAAAATTTTATAATAACATTCCTGTTTTGAATAACCCGCTGCTTTCCCCTTTGCGCACAAAAGAATGCGCAGAACCGAGCTGGAACCTCAGAGGACAGAGAAAGTGTTATTCTTCTGTCTTTCTTAGTCGGAACAGCTTCCACTTCTAGAAACTGTCCATATAGAAGTATTACATATATGGATAGAACAAAATACTCTGTGTCCCATACCGGATATCGGATATTATTTATATACATAAAAGTATCGATTGTTTTTTGTAGATATGGTATAATAAACGCAGAATAAAGAATACTGCGTAGAACTCAACAAATTGTATTACAGCATAATCTATTGAATATTTACAGAACATGGAGATCTAGATATCCTCCAAATAATAAATTCATAAATTAGTAATAAAAAATATTTTAAAAATCGCGATAAAAACTATACTATATTTTAAGGTGGAAAAAATTATACGAAATGAAAAAATTTCAGTAAAATCGGTTGAGTAGTTTTGAAGTTCATCGTAAACATACAATGTGACACTAAATTTTTGTATGTACTGATGAGAGAAATTGAAACGTTACTCAGGAATGAAAGTTTTGACATTCTTTTACATTTTCAATAGAAATCGAAACGGTTAGTTTGTTAAGATCGTTTTTTAGCATTACATAAAGGAAAAATACTTTTATGACCTCTTCTACTATCTTTAAAAAAACTTTTTAATACTAAATATTATTAACGGGATAAACGTGTTTCACCATCTAATAGAAAAAGTATGCAGAATTTTTTTACTCTCTTTTACGTAGTAACCGTAATACATTTCTATTATATATAAGCATTGCTACCAATTGTTCGGTGTAGATACAAAAAGATTTAATTTTTTTTCTCCTCTGCATGTGAGGCTCTGAATTTTTCAGCGATCTATWTGAAGGACTTTGATATTTTCAGTCCTCCTCTATGTATAGTATAGTTCTATTATATAGTATATTTCAAATAACGTATACGGATGATTCTTAGATAACTGTGATTTTTACAACTCAAAACTTTTAGAAATTAAAAATGCTTTATAACTTATGTTTTGGGTACTATTGTTTCCTAATTATGGTCAGAATTATTCCTGTAATGTAATTCTACTATTACTTCAATAGACAAAAAACTAGGACAAAAATTGAAAATTTTTCAATGTTACGGTACTGACAAATAAATGAAACATTCAAAGTACTTAGGTAAATCATTTAAAAATCCTAAAACAATAAAACGAATGATAAATTATAATACTCTTATAATGTTACAAAGACTTTTTTGGTATTTTCCTCTTGATTTTAACAATCTTTAAAATTTATTAATAATAGAATTAGAATAATAATTTTTATAGTTATCTTTGAATATATAACTAAGTCTAAAATGAGTTTTAATGAAAACTAGAACAACTGAAGATAATAATAAATGAAAGCATTAAGAAAATATGAATTTGAAAATTATTTGTTATTTTTACCATGGTACTGACATCCACGGTACTGACATTTAAATTTATAATTATCCTAACATTATTTTTGGCACATAATTAAAATGATTTTCCAAACAATTTCAATTGTACACATAAAATTAAATATATATTTTGAATAGTTAATCTAAAATATTGTATCATTATGTGTAAATTTCAATATCATGTTACTGGCATGTAATTTTATGACTTACCTGTTTCAGAACAAAACAAATTATTTCTGTCAAAATATCGAAACCAAAAATAATCATACAGCTGTAAACTATACACAAATAGTCCTTCATTAAAATGCCACCAAAGAGAGCGAACAAAACTCAATGAAATATGGCGTTTAGTCAGAAAATATTCTAAATTTAAAAATTAAATAAAATCCCAGGACACAGAAATCAATGACAATTATTCCTTTCTCCTAATCAATATTTTGGTATAATTGCAGCATAATTTGATAGAATATACATTAGATTTTAGTTATAAATAAGCTAAACTTTAAATTATAAAACAAATTTTTATAGAAATTTACACATTTAGTTTGAGAAACGAGAATCGGACATGCCACTGTACTGACATTTTTTGGGTGCATTTCTGTAAGTTATTTATAATCCATGACTACTTATGCTTCAATAGTCATTCTCGACGGTAGAATACTATCAAATTTATGAATTTTATAATTTTTTAAGAATCACCCATATACTAGTTAACAAATTCATATAAAAAGTTTATTAAAATATTTCTAATTGTCGAACATCATTTTTTTGTCACATATATTAGGTTGGGGAAAAAGTTATCCATTATTTTTACGTTAACTTCAAACCTTTATTTAACATACTTCTGGTTGTCTGATTTTGATCAAATATACACCGTTTTGTTCGTTAATTTATTAACGTTTTAAAGGTAGCTTCACAATGCCTGTCTCTTAAAAGTCTTAGTCCCTATTTGCGAAAAACTCTTGTGATCGATTTTTACAATCTTCTTTTAATGCCAATTTCTTATCAATAAGAAAGTTTTGCAGTGCAACAAAAATATGATAATCGCTTAGTGTAAGGTCTGGTCTATATGATGGATGCATCAAAATTTCCAAACCAATCTCCTGGAGGTTCTGGAAAGTCACTATAGTCATGTGTGACCTGGCGTTGTTCTGATCAAACACAACACCTCTCCTTTTGGCCAGTTCTGGCCGTTTCTGGTCAATCGCTTGCTTTAAATAATCCAGTTGTTGACAGTAAAGATCCGAATTTAGTGTTTGGCCATATTTAAGCAACTCATAATAAATGATTCCTTTCCAGTCCTACCAAATGCACAGTAGAACCTTCCTGGCCGTTAGTCCTGGTTTTGCTACCATTTGAGCTGCTTCATCGCGCTTTGACCACGATCGTTTTCGCACAATATTGTCGTATGTGACCCATTTCTCATCCCCAGTCACCATCCGTTTAAGA